TAAATGGAAGACAGGTCTTATGGCCTTCATTAAGAAAAAAAACACTCTGGATCATTTCTGTCTTATGACTATCGTGATCCAGGTTTTGCCCTTCTGTCTCATTTTTCTGTATTTGACATCTAATATAACAATTACATAACTCGTGAAAAAGTACTAATAGTTATCTTATACATGCTCAGTAATCATAAACAGCTGAACTATGTAGAAAAACCCAAAGAACAAATAACTTATTATGACAGTCAAACAAAATGGATTCTGAGTTCAGTATAAATTCATAGGTATACAGGTTTGTCAATGTCTTGGGATAGCTGTCTACTTCTGATGTCAGCAGTTTCTCACCCTAGAGGGCTTTGATGACTGTGGTAAGTGGAAGTGAGTATCAGAGATGGGGTGGATGTCCATTTGTGGTTAGGTGCCTGATAAGGCCCCTTCTAATGGAGTTGGAGAGTATCTTTTATTTGATGTCCTTTTCAATAATCAAATTTTAAAGTCTTTGTCTCCTGGGAGTTCACTGTGAAAGGACGCAGTTACCAACTTGGCATTGTCTTGAAGTGACTATCAAACCTTGGTTATAGTGTAAGATGCCTCCTTTCAGTAATGTCAGCCCATAGTTTCTTCATCTAAGTTCAGCTTTAATGCATTGTGATGCATGAAAGAATGCAAAAACTGGAAAATGGGGAGCCAGGGAGCAGGGGAAAACGAAGCAGCTGTGTTGGGTTTTCCATAGCCCTAACTCGTCATATTTTTTCCTCTGATTTTCCCTTGCAATTTACCATAAAAGACAAGTCTTTTGACATATTTCAGGGGCCTTTCTGGAACACTTTATTTCTGTCTATATTGAGACTTTTAACCCTTAAAACCTCCAATTTCTAATGAAAACATCAATTTCTAGTGGAAAGCATTCTTTTTTAAAAAAATGTATTTTATTCATTTTTTACAGAGAGGAAAGGAGACGGATAGAGAGTTAGAAACATTGATGACAGAGAAACATCGATCAGCTGCCTCCTCCACACCCCCTACTGCGGATGTGCCTGCAACCAAGGTACATGCCCCTGACTGGAATCGAACCTGGGACCCTCCAGCCCACAGGCCAAACCTAGTCAGGGCTGGAAAGCATTCTTTAACTGGACATTTTATGACCTCTGAAAACATTTTATATAGACATAAAAGTCAGTTATTAACAATGACTTATTTTTGTAAAACCCAGGCAAAATAAAGACATGTTTTATTTAAAGCAATAAACTTAAGCAAGTTTTTATTTACTGAGGATTAACCTTAGATCATGTATACTTGAAAAGCATTTGAGTTAGTTTCTGTATTTCTGAGAATTTTAAAATACTCAATTCTCGCAAGTGGTTGGCTTTAAATTCATTTTAATAGTACCATCCAGAGGTAGAAAATTATCTCACATTTATAACACACATATATATAGACACAGACAGACACAAAGAGAGAACAGTTGAATCTAAATTCTGTTTAGGAGGCATTTACAATTCATATCTGTCCTTGACAAGTCAAGTTCCAAATGACCTTCTCCCTTTTAAAATAAGGACAGCCATTGATTGATTGATTAAAATACATTTTTATTGATTTCAGAGAGGAAGGGAAAGGGAAAGAGAGATTGAAACACCAATGATGAGAGAGGATCATTGATTGGCTGTAAAGGCAGCCATTTTTAATACCACAAAAAATTGTGTTGACACCTAAACGACATCATAGGTGATTGATTGATTTATATATTCTTTTTGAAGATTCAAGAGACCAATTAAATACGATGTTTTTATTCACTCCGCCTAATTTTATAGCCAGCTATTCCTAATTGTGTGTGCAAATAGTCCTTTAAAGTATCAGAGGATCCTCATTTTGGCCATAGTTATAAATGGGAGGCTGACTGTGGTGGGCCTTGTTGGCCTGGGTGGCATGATTTCCCAAGTTAATTTTGAGATCTGTAGAGTGTGAACAAAGTTCTAGGGAAAACATGCACGTCTCCAGATGAGCTAATTGCAGTGGATATCTTTATAGGACTGCTTTATACCCTAGAGAAAGTTTTTTCTCTGGAAACCCCACAAAGATTCTTTGTCACCTAAGAATACTCAAACAAGGGACAGCAAGAGCTTATCAAATGCAGCAAAAATAGCGATGCTTTCCAAGGCAGGGCCCCTCTCTCAGGTCCCCCTCTCTCAGGGTGAACCCATTTCAAGGCTCTCTGTCCTCCCAGGGTCCTGCATGCTTCTCTGGGATTGGCTGCACTACCTCACTGGCACCTTCTCTGCCTCTCTGGATTCAGGTGTGGAGCAACTGTTAATGGGTTGGGGAGCAAGTGTCCTTTCTCTCTCAGAGCTAAAGAGAGCTCAGTCTCTCATTTAATTAGCAAAGATTTTGTTCAGACTCTCAGTAAGCAATCCAATCAAAAAGCTGAAATTAAAAGCAGCAACCCACTTTTTTCCCCCTCTCCCCGGGTTATCTCAACCATTATCTACCTCAAAGATTTTCTAAAAACAGTTCAAATAAAATCATGGCCTGCTACTTAAAGCAAGGAGGCCCAGGATTCACCCAAGTTCACTTGATACAAAGTGGAGAGTCTGTGGGGTACAAAGCCCTTGCTTTACCTAGTATCAGTCCAGGGCCACAGGATGGTCCTGGGTGGGCTTCTTCGGAATCCTGTCACACTATGCCAGCTAAACGCCAATGTGTAGAGAATTTTTAAGAGTTTATTTGAGCCAAACTGATGACATACACCAGGGAGTAAGATCTCATATGCTCCCTAGATAATTTCTTAATACCAAAATTTTGTTCTATCTGTTTTCTACATCATTTATAATCAAACAAAATTTACAATGTGTAAAGTAGATGTTGTCATAGTAAAGCTCAACCCACTTATAAATACACTAGTAGCCCTGCGCATGAATCTGTGCGCTAGTAGCTCGCTGCCGCCCTCCAGTAGCTCTCCACCCGCTGCCCCGCCTTCCTATAGCTCCCCCCACCCCCCCGCCCCCTCATAGCTTGCTGCCCTGCCCCCTCCTGTAGCTCTCCATCGCCCACTTGTAGCTTGCTGCCCCACCCTCCTGCTGATCCGTGATCCTGTTGTTATATGCTTCATGGCATAACAACCATTTGCATATTACATCTTTATTATATAAGATTTTATGTGGAAATCTTATAAATATACATGTATATATAATTGTAACACAAAACTATATGTGATATACACTGCTATTTCAGTGGTGAATTAAATTTTTCAAGCTACTTCATTATCATTTGGCTAAGGGTACCAATTGTTTGTGGTCTACTAACCATTAGAAGTTTGAATCTATCCTACATTTTATACATATATGTTCCACAAAAAACACACAGTACAGCATCTTTCACAGAAAGCATCCAGGCTTTCCTAATCAGTAAGAAAGTGACTAGGACTCATGTTCCTGGTGATCTTCTTCCATAGGTCCTGCTGCACTGGTAGAGAACATCTGTTAAAAGCCTCCTGTACTATTACGTATCCTTCTTGACAAACACTTCATTAGAATGGAAGTTCTCTCTGGGCAGAGGCCTCCCCTGTCTCCTGACTGCTAAGTTTAACCATCTCTACTTCTAGAGTTAGGAATCCTTTGTTCAGAGAGAAACACGGGAGAGCTCACACAGCTGATTGTGGTATAGATGGTACCATGTAATTTTGTAAATTTATAAAAGGTTTTTTATTTTTTCCCTTGCAAAAAAACCCACAACAAAACAAAACAAAACAAAAAAAAACATTAAAATGTTCATGTTTTTTCTTTATATAGACTCTAAGCCTTTCTAGAAGTGTAGGAAATCTGTTACTCTGAAAGAATTATGTGATCTAATGCTCAAATAATCTACTGGAGGATTTTGGATGTAAAAATGTTTCTTAATGTGTTTTTCAGATGTCTGTGACCTTTTAAAATTGTTTTTCCCTTCACTTAATTTTAAGGCTCTTAGATTGACTGATTTGAATCATAGAAATTAATGAAGTAAAATTCTTGAATTGAATAAACTGAAAGAACCTAAATCTATGTATCAAGCCATTATTAATATAACAAAAACAATTTCTAGAAACTCAGAACCCAAGTTGTGATATGGAATAGGTGGGGAATGGTGTGTTGATTGAAATATTATGTTAATATAGAGCTACATGCAATATAATCTATAATAATATAAGCGTAATATGCTAATTAGACCAGACAGCTGAACGACCTTCTGGACATCATTCTAGATGAAGCCGCAGGGGCCGAGGCAGAGGTGGTTAGGCAGGCAGGCAGAGTGGTTAGGGGCGGTGAGGCAGGCAGGCAGAGGCAATTAGGGGTGATGAGGCAGGCAGGCGAGTTGTTAGGGGTAAGCAGGCAGGCGAGTTGTTAGGGGTAATCAGGCAGGCAGGCAGAAGCGGTTAGGGGCGACCAGGCAGGTAGACGAGTGGTTAGGGGTAATCAGGTGGGCAGGTAGAGGCGGTTAGGGGCGATCAGGCAGGCAGGCGAGCAGTTAGGGGCGATCAGGCAGGCAGAGGGGTTAGGCAATCAGGCAGGCAGGCTAGTGGCTAGGGGTGATCAGGCAGGCAGGCAGAGTAGTTAGGGGCAATCAGGCAGGCAGGCAGAGGGGTTAGGGGCAATCAGGCAGGCAGGCGAGCAGTTAGGAGCCAGCGGTCCTGGATTGCGACTAAACCAGCAGTCGGACATCCTCCAAGGGTTCCCAGATTGCGAGAGGGTGCAGGCCGGGCTGAGGCCCCTCCCCCCCCACCTCCCTGTTCACACATTTTGTGCACTGGGCCTCTAGTGTCCAAATAATTAGAGAACAGTAGAATCTATTAACACAAACTATGCTCAACGTAATTTTAATGTTTCTTTAATTCATTACTCTGGTTAGGAGTATTACATGTCATATTTTTGTGTTTTATAAAATATTTTTCTTAATAATTTCTCCCACAATTTACTAATATTCTAAATTGTATTAATACCTCTCATGGTGCTCAACATATAGTTGTCACATAAATTTACTGAGGCTGCCAACAATTAGGGGATATACTTAAGGAAACAAAATTCTGATTGATTCTGATCTGTTTCTTTCAGAAAGGTCACCACCCATATAATGGAATTTTATCTGATTCTGTAGATCAGATTTCTTCATTCTGGATATCGCAGTAACAATATAGGAAGTATGCATAACTTCTCATTTCTGCAAGTAGACTTGAGTGCTAAAGGAAGAAATTTTTTAAGCTACAGAAGAATTCATTTTGGTGCCTTTTATGGAATCCTGATTTTGTTTTGAATTTTTTGATAACCTTTTACTAAAGGTATGAACACTCAAAGAACTTATCTCATTTGGCAAGTCCACATTAATAAGAATGCCTAGAAGAGGATTGATTCTTCAAACCCGGACCCACTGGTTGCTGTTGGGTCTTGCTTTACTCTGTAGTTTGGTACTGTTTTTGTATCTTCTGGAATGTGCCCCACAGACTGATGGAAATGCATCTCTTCCTGGAGTCATTGGAGAAAATTATGGTAAAGAGTATTATCAAGCCCTTCTACAGGAGCAAGAAGAACATTATCAAACCAGGGCAACCAGTCTGAAACGCCAAATTGCCCAACTAAAACAAGAATTACAAGAAATGAGTGAGAAGATGAGATCATTACAAGAAAGAAAGAATGTAGGGGCTAATGGCATAGGCTATCAAGGCCACAAAGAACAAGCACCTAGTGATCTTTTAGAGTTTCTTCATTCCCAGATTGACAAAGCTGAAGTTAGTATAGGAGCCAAACTACCTAGTGAGTATGGGGTCATTCCCTTTGAAAGTTTTACCTTAATGAAAGTATTCCAATTGGAAATGGGTCTCACTCGCCATCCTGAGGAAAAGCCAGTTAGAAAAGACAAGAGAGATGAATTGGTGGAAGTTATTGAAGCTGGCTTGGAGGTCATTAATAATCCTGATGAAGATGATGAACAGGAAGATGAGGATGGTCCCCTTGGAGAGAAACTGATATTTAATGAGAATGACTTCGTAGAAGGTAATGTGAAAAATAGTTATGTTAGTATGACAGAATGCTATTTTGTATGCTGATAAGTCAGTCATTTTCCACAGTATTAAAACATTTAAGTGTTTACTCACTGCATTCCACCAGGAGTTTGAAGTGGCTTTTTGAAAAAAGTTATCATATGATTGTAATAAAGTAGAGAATAAGAACCAGGGAAATAGAATAAATCTAAGCTTATACAGAAGACTACTACCCAAGCTGAAAACTCTTAGGATTGTTTCTGTATTTACATGTGTATGTATTTGCATTTCTCTCTTATCTGGTCTTGTTCCTTATATTTTTTTTAAAATGTATGAACTAAGGCTCAAGATTTAAAAACCATTTGATAAAGTAATGAAAAAAACTAATTTTGTAGATTAATGGTTATTCTCTATTTTGGAGGGAGGAGAGAAGATGTGTGAGAACATCAAGGAGGCATACATGGATTTAAAAATGCATGTTTGGCATTTGGGAAAGTATTTTCCTAATACAAACTGCAGAAAGGGCATGGGATTTTTATATATCAAGATGGGACATGACTCAAAAGTTGAGAAACACTGCTATGAATTTGAGATATTTGTTGATTGATATAAACAGGAATAATTACAGATCCCCACTCATCTCCATCTTAATATCCTGTGCTGAATATTTAATTACAAGCTTAAAACCATTTTAGATATAAATCTTTCTCTTTGCTTAACTCTAAACAGTGTAGTGATTTTGACCCTGAATCAGCATGGATGTCACTTGCTGTACTGAAATGTAATACCTTGAGGCTTTTGGAGGCCATCAGGGAGAGCATTATACTTTTCTGGCATTTCAACTGTCTTCTCCCTTTTGCCACCTCTTTTTTCTGCTGTCACTTCTTGCCATTTTCAGTGTGTTGCTTCTCTCAGAATTCTTCCAGTTTTTCTGCAAGCTCGGGTTTTTGTCTTTTCACTCTATGTTTGTAGTTTATAGCAGAATTGAAAGCTGCTGAGAAAGATAACTACGTAACGTGTAAAATGTCTTCACATCTGCCTGAAAAGAAAGGAAACAATGCCAGTTTTATATTCTGCTTGTAACTTTCCTTGGATTCTGTCACTTACAAGATTTTTCTCTGTGTGGAATATATTTTGTCCCTCGGTTTTCCTCCACTGTGATCCTCCTCTCACCAAAAAATAGTTACTGACAACTGAGCAATTCCTATTCCTCTTTCCAGACTTCAGCTTAGAAGACACTTCTGGGAAGTCATCTCCAACCTGCAAGTCTAAGATAGCAGTGCTTCCTGTGTGCGCTTGTAACCTCTGCCTGTGTTCCCTCTCATAGTTCTTGTCTTATGGTATTGCTCATTTTCTGATTTGTAGTTCCTGCTTGACTGTAAGCCTCAGGAAGAGTGGGAACAGTCTGTCTCCGTTTTATTCCCAGACATTGACAGTGACTCACACATCTGTAGGTCTAACCTTTCTCCTCAGTGTCACACTTAAAAATCAGCCCAGTAAACTTCCATGTTTTTCTCCCAAAGGCATTTCAAGTCACCATGTTTAAATCTATACTAATTTTTCTTTGTCTGACTTCACTATATTCAGTGTGTGTGTGTGTGTGTGTGTGTGTGTGTGTTGTGTACACATGTATTTCCTCACTATATTATATTTTCTTTATTTTTC